CCGCTATAATTACCGACGACAACAACTATAAGCACGACGACGTCCATGGGATTCTTGGCAACTCCAACCGGAATATATAGGAAAATTTTAAGCTTTTACACCTAGGGAGTTGCAGATACTCTGGAGAAAATTGTAAAAAAAATGCAGGTTTATTAGAAATAATAAAAATAGAAAATTAAAACATATACTTTATTTAAATACAGCTTAAAAATTATGTTTAAAATTGTATTAACTTTTCTGGAATATTTTAAAGATGGAAATACTTTCAATATAATTTATAAAATATTATTATCGAGGTTACTTTTGGCATGTTGAATACTTTAATATTTTTATAGATTATCCTTGCTTTTTTAAAAGTTATTTTTTTGAGTTTAAGACCTTATATTCTTATGTAATATTTAACAAATTTAATGCACAAGCTAATATACACTACTAGTATCCTGTTTGGCCTACGAAAATTGCCTAGCGGTGAGCTGCAGACAAATTTACAGCGCAATCAAAGTGCAAAAATAAAAAAAAAAACAGAACCTGTGCAGCGTTCGACGTTCAACGTTCGTGGTTCGTTTTGCGGGGAGTTTTAAGATTAAACACATTTTGCATTTAATTTGCCATAATTATGGCAGTCGGCGGCGGAGCTGGGCGGCGGGACAAGAGGCAGCAGCAGCCCGTTGATGGCGCCAAATTAAGTTGTAAATGAAGTTTTTGGCGTCGCTTCGCTTGCACCGGGCAGCAGGCGTCAAAAAATGTGGTTGGTTCTCCTCCAGCACCTCCTGCTCCTCCTGCCTCTCCATCCTTCTCCGGTGCTTGGACTTTTTCATGGGGACTTGCATGTGGCCACATTTTCCTAAAAAAAAATTCTAAGCTGTGAAACACCGCCATTGGGACTCAACAATTTTCGGTTATTAATTCGACTTCGTTGGCGTTCGTGTGAGTTATTTTCGGTCGGTTCGAAATTAATGTTGCTCAATTAATTTGCGCCACTAAACGTTTCTCAGTCTGGAGTTTTTCTTCGGTTGTTTTTTTGCCCCAAGAGTATTTAATTTATGTGCGGTTTGTGGTGTTCACTGACCAGCATGCAAGTTGCCATACATCTGCTGGGGATTTCTCCTATTTTGACAGCTTATTTCGGTCACGGATCTCCGAGAGAGTCTCGGCGGAGACAAAGCTGTTTTTGATAGGTGTGTAAATGTGCCAGAGGAAATATGTAGAGTCCAAGGGAATCGGAGATTATTTATGGGGTTTGATATAGCTGCTTAATCATTTGTGCTTAGTTTAGCTCGATGTCGGATGGTAAATTTGAATAATTTCGCTAAAAGTTCCTTGAATTTGAATGTTTAATAATTTTAGTAAATTCTTGGGGCTTTTATTTTATTATATTATAATTTTGGGACCCTTTCTGGGACCTCCTTCCAAACAAAGTCTCAAAAAAATATTTCTTCAAACTAATTCTGACCGAAATAATGACATAATTTCGATGCAAAAACCCTGTATACGCCTCTACTCTTAATTTCAGCACTTTGACTCTTCATTATGCGCCGACAATTACCCATGGGTATCCATTTCCAGAGCGGCGTCAGTCGTGTGTGAATGCAATTGTGAACTGCAGTTGCAATTGCGAATGTGAAATGCATTTTTCAACACTCGCAGAAGAAAACTTCCTCTGCTGATGTCGGAGAGAGAAAACCTGTTAATTATCAACAATTTTGCCAGCCTGCTGCGTGTCTGTAATTAGTTGAATTTCCATTGAAAAGCTGCGGCAATTAAAAAATAAACATACAAAGGCAATGGCACACACGCATTGCCAACTGCAAAGTGTTGCCAACTTAGCGTACAAAATTATGGCCAAGTGAGAGATAACTGTACGGTAGACACTATAGCCTAGTATACTGCATAATTCAAGGAAGTTGCCACATGTCAGCCGTGTCGAAAGGCCCAGCAATTAAGATTCAAATGGCAAGGCAAATCTGCATTAATTGCCGAGTGTCATAAAGCGTATGCAAAGAGAGTGGGGGCTGTGAGAAGTTAGGTCACTTTTAAGGCAGTTATTACACCAGTTCTTGGGGAATAAATTACAATAGCAAAAGGTATTCAAAGTATTTGTATTTATTTATAAGGGAAGTAAAAATTAATTGTAATTTTATTTTAGAAAATAATACAACTGCATGCATCTTGGAAACGGTATTAAGATTAGGGTCACTTTGAACGAACATTCTTAATTATAAAGTTTTTAATTCAGTTTTTTAATCTTAATTCTCGGATATCCCTTCTTTGACCATCTTGTATCTTTATCCATGTTGTCTAGTATCTCAGATTATGTATCTCATGCTCTTTCACACACATCTTTACGCATAAACACATTGCGATTTCTTTCGCAGCAAATTGAACTGGAAAGACCTTAGGTTGAAAGCCCCGCCCACATGAAATCCACCCACTTGCCACTTAAGCGCTGCATGCAAAGCAATTTAGCCGGAGCAGCTGCGTCCTTCCAGCGCCACGTTCCACATTCATATTGAAACAAATCCCTGGCCGTGAGTGGAGTGAGGTGGAAACTCCGGAAACTTTACAGAAAAAAAAGGAGAACAACTTATTTTGTGCACCCAGAAAAATTTTATAAGTTCATCTTAATTTTTCAGTGATATTTGTCAACGATTAAATTATCTGTATATTTAAATGATTGAATATTTAAAATTTATTAAAAATTAAATGCAAAGTAATTTATTTAAATTTGGTTATTATATTAGTAATAAATATATATTTTAAGGGGGTTAGTCAGTTGGAAAACACGTAAAATCTTAAAAGCTTGGCTCGAATTTGTAAGAAAAAAGCTTTCTAAAACCCTTTTAATTATTTTTTATAATAAATTAAGTAATTTTTTTGGCCGGTGTATAAATAAAAAGAAGAGGAAAAGCGAAAAAAAAATACAAATAATAAAGTTCGCTTGTCAGTTTAGCAGCCATTTTGCGGTTCCACGGCACAGTTCTCCCACCTGCCCCCCTTGTCGCCTGTCATATTCCTGCCATTTTCCGCCCACCCGAAGTTCGACGAATGCTTTGCATTTTCTTCTCCCCTTCCCGCTTTTTTTCTCCCTTTTTTTTTGTTCTTAGCCTGGCACATCTTTTGGTGCTTATCCGCAATTTCTTTCCGCTTCGTACTCACCTTCCTCGCCAGACATAAACTTTTTTATGGCACCCACTGTTGTTGTCTTTGATAAATCTGCCTCAATTTGCCCATATCGAGGCGGGGGGGGGGGGCGTGGCTGGCCTATGGCTTTATTTGCCACAACCCAAAACCCGGGGAGCTCACCTCAAGCCCCACTTCATGAAAGACAAGTTTTATGTCAATTTTTTCTGCTTACTTAGTGGGCGGCTGCTTAAGCCTGATTTAGCCCTCATTACATAACGAGGGGCGGGGGGCTGCCGGAGGAAGTAGAAGTGGGATTTGCTTTATTACAGTTTAATTAAATTTACCCTGGCCGGAATTTGTCCTGTGGCTGCTCCTGCTGCGGCGTCTTTAGCCAAACGACTCAATTACGCAGTTAATCGTAAAAAAATCCTTGCACTGATTTGTTGCAGCTGAAACCGAAGCGAAGGACTTTGGCGAGGGTTGAGGTTGTGGATGCGAATGCGGAAACCCTCCTCCTGACAGCAATGTGGACGCATGTTTGGGCCATAAAACGGCGGCACTCTCGCCGGCTATTATTGCTCTTGGGCAGGATGGGGTGCTGCTCCGTTATCCTGCCATCCTGCGTGGCCTCAGGTGCGCTCACTGGCGAGTTGATCCATTTATGGCCATCGTTTGGCCTTTTTTTCTACGATTTTCCAGGCATTTTCTTTTTTTTTTCTCGTATTTCTTCATCCAGAGCTACTTTTTATATTCCACTCGGACGGAGGGTGAACATATGGTATGATGGGATTTGAGGTGGTTAGGAATAGGGTCATTTTTAGTGTATTTAAAATTTCTGAAAATATATTAATATATTTTAAAATATTTTAATAAGCCCAAAGTATATTAAAAAAATTTTAAGCTTAGAATATGAATTTTATGACATTTATTGAGCTCTAAACCGTATTATTTGCTTTAGAATTTAGTTATTACAATTTCTTTATATTTTTAAAAGCACATTTTTAATAAGAAATTAAATAAAAAGATGCATTCGATATAAAATGCATATCCTTATAAATTTACTTAGCAGTTATACTTACACATCATCAAATATTCGACCCTTTACCATAAGGTCCTTCCTTTTGTACATCATTTAAGGGATATGCGGCTAAGACGCTACATGACCGCAATGAATGGAGCTCACTGGACTGCTCCCTCGTCCGTATTAATTTCTGGGCTAGATTTACGAGCGAATCTGGTGGAAAATGCAGGCTGGCGAACCCTTTGTTAATCAAAAGGACACACGTGGCCGGATGGCTCTCGCCTTGATTACACTCACGGCTGGGGCAATTAAGCGTGTCAGGATCTCTGAAAGCGTATCCACCTTTGGCGGCCATAAACCCGGGCGGACAGCTCGCTTCTCTCTCGAACAGGCTGGGGCACGTTCCGGCAAGGAAATGGCAATCCAATCCAATCTCTTGAGGGGCTCAAGGATTCCCTTTCCAGCTAATGCCTAGGGAAATTGTTTACCTTTCGACTGAGGCCAATAAAGAACCACCACTTTTTAATTTGCCTATGCAAATGACGAGTTGTTTACTTTTTGACACATGCGCGACTGTCATAATTTAGCCAGGCATTTGGCTTCCCTCCGCCATTGTTGTCCTTGTTTGGATATGCAAATTAGGGGGCCTGACACTGGTAATCCCTGCTAGCTGCGGCAATTATGAAGCCAGGCAAACAAACCAAACGGCGTGCAAATGTGACAGACGTTCGCCGGAATCGAAAAATGAAATGGAAATATCACCAGCAGGAAATATCACCCAGAAAAGGGGTGCAGACGTGTGTGATTTATGGAAAACGATCGACATTTCAGTTTAGAAATTAAAAATAAAGGCATGTATATGACATGTATGTATATATTTTATAAAAGTTGTTCTTTAGTTATAAGCTTAGTATCGGTCTAATACCCATTTGTACAATTAACCGACTTTGGATTTACTTTAGTTGTACCTACAGATATTAGTCACTGAAACTTTGAAGATCTGAAAAAGTTACCATTCTGTTGGAAATAAAAAAAGAAACATATTAAAAACAATTTACAAAAGCTTAATATACTCACATATTTTGAAATTTTCGAGGGATTACAACACAGAAATTTTACAGGTAAAAACATTATGATTATCTTCCTTTATTTGTATTGGGAATCAATAATTTAAGGCCAACGCTCATCCCTGTACTCACTAAGATTCAACACGCCTATAACAAGAACCACTATATGTATATAGAAGAGAGAAAATTTATTGTAATTTATTAAAATAACACCTTGTTTTTATCATCTTTTGTGGCTACTTACCTATAGGAAAAATTAAATAGAAATACACTATAGGCGCTATATAGCTCATGATCTTTCCAACTCTAAACAACTTGCGGTTGTCCTAATAAAAAATGTTAATATATTAAAAATATCTGTCTCTGATAGCTTACCCGGCTCATTCCTAGAAGCAATAGAATTCCAGCGATGATACTGGCTAAGGCAGTCAATATGCCGAAAGCGAATTGAACTATCAAAATGGCAGGTTCCCCGAAAAGAATTGGCTGTGAACCGCGGCTAATAAGTATAATAAGTGCCACATTGATCGCTAACAAAATAGCTCCAAATCCCAGACACCAAAATGAATAACATCGGGCGCAAGACTCCGGATCATAGTCTGTACACATCCTTCAAAAAGATAGGTAATTATTGCAAATACATATGTATATATGTTATTTTGTGTTATTTAAATTTGGAATTATTTGGTTTATATTTCAAAAACTCCCTGGATTGGGTTCTTCAGTAGATTTTAGACATAACCAAAGAGGGGAATATAGAAATTGCTGACTTTTTGGTAATTTCCACATCACCCTAAGGGACTTTAGCCAATTAAAATAAATAACATTAGGATGGAAAGTTAAATATCTAAAGCACTTCATTGCAGCTTTGACTGTCTGCCCTGCAAAACTGATACGGTTTCGGATTCAGCTGGTCCCCGGTCCTGGGTCAGCCCACTTGGCTATTTCACACCTTATTTATTGACCATTTATTTGAGACCGGCTCGCATTTCGTGCGCTTTCGGCATTTATGTCAAGCGACTCGAAAAGGCCCCAACCGCGACTTGAGATGCAGCATCCCCGATAAGTTCACTTCTCTAAAGGGGGCTGGCCACACTGGCCCACGGTTGGGTCCTCTTCTCTGTCCTGTCCCAACCAAGTTCGGGGAGTTTGGCAACCCAAAAACGGGCGGCAACCTGGCCGCACTCGCAAAGCGTTAATGTGAATTATTAATAAGACAAAAGGCAGCGGCAAAAGGCGGCCTCCTTTGATGCTGTGCTGGGCTAAGACAAAAAATTATAACACTGGCAATAAAATCTGGAAATAATTATTTTTATAATATCAGAATATAAAAATGGGTCAACTTTTAAATAAGAATATAAACGTAGGACTAAAAATTATATTATTATTTCAGTCATACGATGTCAATGAAGTGAAGTAGTCATTTCCAACCCGATAAACCATATATATTCTTGATCAGCATCAACAGGGGAGTCTTCCTAGCCATTTCGGAAAGAAATACAATTTTTAAAAATTTTCTTCAAAATCTGAAAATTTGATAAGGGGTTACATCGTTAAAATTCTCGAAAATTGACAAAAATTTTAATTTTTTAAAATATTAAATTCAGTATGCAGATTTGTTAAACTAATAAAAACTAACATAACACCGCTTTCCAAATTGAAATTAATGCTTTTTTTGCTTAATTAAGCTCATTTGAAACTTCGGTTTTCCAACATAAAAAATAACGTTTTTATATACACACATTTTTGCTGTCCTTAGTTTCTTTTTAAATAAATGTTATTTGTTATAATTTAAATATATAAACCTTTTTTAGGAATTTAACCCTTTCCAATGGCATTTTTCTCTCAGTTTTGCCATAGTTCGTTGGCAACTTCAGCTGCATCCCGACTTCAAAACCGGCGGTCTAATCAAGATGGCGTTGGCTCTTTGGCGCGAAGCGAACTAATCAGGCGGTGAGATTTAAAAATTAACGTGGCTCAAAGCGAGGAGCAGAGCCAAGCCGTCTCTCCCGAGCCTAGTACTGTCTATATACACATATACATTGCAGTTTTGGGATGGCTCCAATGCCTTGGCGGAGGAAGGCCCGACTTTGGCATAGCAGTGAAAGTGTGTTCGGGGGTTTCGGTTTGGTTTTTCCTTTTTTTTTTTTTTGGAACCCCGTTGATTTAGGCGCATTGCCGATAAGCAACACCGAACACATTAAAAATGCATAAATCAATGCGATAAACATGATTTGCCGCATGTTTTATTGACTATTGTTGCTGTTTTTACGCCCAGAGACTTTGGATTTTTCCTTGACTTGAATTGCATTTGCCGCTTTCTTGGTCTTGGCGGCTTTTATTTGCTGGCACGATTGTGGCCCACGGGGTTATGCCATATAAATTTGAACGGGCCGGCTTTTGTATCTTTGGCTAATTAACATTGAAAATTGGTTGTATTTACCTTTAAATGCTCGAGGTTTTCCAGCTACCATTTCCCTGACTAGTTGCTGATTCAGTTGCTGAAATGAAATAAACAACATGCCAGGAGATATATACATATATACAACGCACATGCCCGATATAGGGAAAAGCCACTTGATGATGCTCGAGTGTCTGTATGAAAAGCACTCGAAAGATTTTTCCGCGACTGGCGCGCAAATAAATTGAAAACTCGTTAAAAATCCATAATGCTTGAGGCGGCACTCGGGAAATGCGACTGCACACACAGGGGAAAAATGCTTTTCATATTTCGTATATTTTCCTTGAATTGAATTGAACTCCGATTCCATGCCCCCCTATTTTCCATTGCTGCTGCTGTTGGGCCATAAATCTGGCAAGTGGCTTTTCCTTGTGCACTTGCTTAATTAATAATTTTATGGCCTTTTAATGGCCGGCCTAGCCAACAACAGGGAATTAATCAACGGCGTGATCCATTGCGCCGGGCGAATGGACCCGAACCCACTCTGGGCCTGCCAGCGATCCGATCCATTGATCTTGTGCGCCACCTCCTGGCCCACTCCCACTCCCCCACTCCTGTGGCCCGGCCAAAAGTTGGCCATTCTAGGCGCGTTTATCAGCGATAAATCTCTTTGTGTTTGCGCTGGCGCAAGTGAATTGAATTGAATTAAATTTTAATTAATTTTATCTGCACTTTGTGGCAAAACACGCAGCCTCCCTCCGATGTTGTTCGTTGTAATTGTGGAAAATTGAAAATTACCCACCAGCCGCCCGCCCGCCATTCGCTTTGATCTCCTTTATTTCTGGTTTTTCAGTTTCCGAGAGGCCAGCCAATGGAATTTCTTTAAGCAAATCGACGCCATGCTTAAGCATTTTGGCAGTAAATTTCAAAAGAAATTGATAATATTCATTATGCCATCTGCGATTCGGCTTTTTGCTTCTTTGTTGTATTTTTTTTTTCGGAACAATTTGCGTACAATTTTTATGGCTTAAGATTTTACGATGAATTCCTCTCTGGCTTCTTATTTTCTTTTTTATTTTCTGCAAAGGGGAAAGCATTTCTTTTGGAGGTTTTTGAGTCACTTTTGAATGCGTCAATGGTTGGCGATTTTTATGGTAATTATATAGACGGTACAGAGATCGATGTGTAATTTCCAAATTAAATAATGGTGGAAATATGTCATTAAAGCCTTACATTTTCTTATGCTTCTAAGAACACTAGAATTCCAGTAAAACTGTACAAATATTTCCTGAAAAAACTGTTATAAAATCTATCATCTGTGACCTTCTTTTAGACCTTTTTCATCTTACCAAATCACCGAAATGTACCTCACCGTTTTGGCTTTCAACATGCTCACACTTTTTGGGCCTTTTGCCTTCGAAAGCCCATTTGAGCGACGCGTCGGCCTGGCCAATTGCTTTCTAAGCCAATTCAAATGTCATTTAAATGTCAAAAGTGTTCGATTCGTTAACAATGGAAATACATTTGCGTGGAGGCATTTTCGGTAATCAGAAATCCGAAATCGGCTTTCAGCTTTCAATCGCTGAACCGCCGACGAGCCGCTGAATGTTGAAACAAATTTGCGCTCAAATTGTCAATATGACGGAGGCCTCGATACGTAAATCGAAATGAACATGAAAAGCGCCGCTAATTGTCAAAAATTGTTGGACATTTAATAGGGTTTTGGGGGTTAAGGGGTAAGGGGGTTCGTGTGTGTCTGTGGATTTATCTGCCATTCTTTTCAATTGGCCAAATGTGTGGTCCACCTGGGCTAAACGCTCTTGCTTTGATTTCCAACAAAAAGTTGGGAATATTGCGTGACAGTTTGTTGAATAATTTACGAATCCATTGGGCCCCTGAATAAAGGCTCCTAAAAGGTAATTTTGTGTTTTTTTCACGCGCACCTAAACACACGCAACAATTTCGGCCATCTAATTGTACGCATAACAGTGCTCCGAGTTACCTTTTTTCTACCTTTTTTCGGGAGGGAAAACTATTTACATAAATGTGGAAATAATTAAACATGGGACGACAAACTTTTCACATGGAGGGAAATGTGTTTTTTTTTCGGCCTGCAATTAGTCGGTTTAAATGCCGCATAAAAGCAAGGCCCCAGAAAGCTTGTCAATTACGCGTAAAATGTCCCATCGTCCATTGTCAGCCCCGGGAGCCATTCATTCCATCAAGCGATCTCCGGGGATCGCGGAGCCCATTCCATTGCGCATGCGCAGCTTGGTTGAATAACTTGGCCCAAAAAAAAAACACACGGAATCTGATATGAGCGTATTTATTTTTTGGTTATATTTATATTGTATGTGCGCATAATAATTTTAATGAACGGTTTCGTCTGCCGCGGCGATTGTAATCGCGCTTAATAATATTTACAGTGGTAATCTACCCGAGCGATGATGGCGCAAGGTGTCGCCTTCGATATGCGACCTGACCAGGCACTGGGAGAAAAGTAATACGGGTTTTAGTTAGGAGTTTATAAGGATTTTTTGTTAGTTTAAATGCCTGATAAATGTTAAAATAATAGAGAAAGGATCTATAGATTTAGGCATACATTTATAAGGATTTCTTCTTCTACTTCTTTGGGTATTTATTTATTCAATATTTATTTTAAACCTCTCCATATTTTTTATCCGTGCAGCCTTACCGTTCGATTTCCTTGCAAGCCGAAAATTATAGCATAGATAGAACCACACACCGCATTCCTCATGGCTACCTGAAATAATTGCCGGGGCCAGAGCAGCTGCCTCAAAGGCGGCCGCAACGGCGTTGTCCAGCGGAAAAGGAAGGAAGGATGCACCACTCCACTCCACTCCACTTCACTCCACTCCAAAATGTGGGGCGTTCTGCGGTGGCACACAAAAGAAATAATTTGGCGTTGATTGCCATGTACACGGCCATATGGTCAACACCCAAATTTGACACCAAACGTCTCCGCGGCCCGATAAATTGTGAATGATAAGGTCTCAGCCGCGATATAAAAGGGGCAACTGAGTAACCAAAAAGTGTATATATATTACCCTTTAGCTTCCCGTCATGTATTACACAATTGGAAAGGTAAAATAACCGAAATAACGAACATAATTCAGTCGAAAGGGTGATGAAGTGTTTCTTAATAAATGCAGATTACTTGAATTAGCTGCATGTGATATTTATGAATAAAATGAAAGGTTTTTTTAAAGGGGAAACTCCGAAAAGGGTTGCTGTTAATCAACTTTATAAAGATTGAAATGTTGATATTGAGCTAAAAAGTATCCAAAGGTATT